TCGATCCCGGGGTTGAAAAAACGTCGGGATTTTGCAAACCCTAGTAAGCGATCGAACTTTATTGCAGAGTAAAATTGAGCAAAATCTTTCTCGATTACTTGGCTCTGTTCTTTAATTGTTCACATTTGCTATACCCATAAAACTTGAATGAATGAATGGACAATAAAGAAAAATTTTATTCCATACATGAATGCGAGAGGTACTATTAAATTGAAAGATTAAATATTGAGCACTATTAAGGAACACTACAAATAGCACCACAAATATCACAACATATTAAACACTGAATCACATTACTCACCTGACAACAAATCGTCATCAATGGTAATTAAATGAATATGTACATCAATGATTAACGAGTATCAAGACAACGATGAACAAGGAAAGGCTCCCAATAACCACACCAATTGTGCCAAGCACGGAATGTAATTGGCACATGAAATCAATACTATAGTTCACAAATAACAGTTACAATCCTTTTGATATAACACTGCACAACTATCACAAATAAATGGCACATTTAAGAATGACCATTAACACCACAGTAAGGTCTTATATATTAACAAACTCAGCCTCATAACCAGGGATTGAACAGCGAGGATTCTCTAAGAGACATTTGTCTTTGAATATGAAGTTACTGAAGTGCACGAGCACTTCCTTTCAACACTAAATCTTCGTGGAATGGGCAACAAATAGTCCCGCTCATAACAAAAGCAAACTGTTGTCAGTGCGTAGGCTGTCATCCTCATAAAGCGATAGTCAATCCTGGTTACTTACCTCTTCATACGATAAGAATGATAATAAACACATACAATACAATATACAAAATAGAATCAATTTGGTAAACTACTAGATGGTGAGATGTTTTTGTTATTCACCTGAAACATATAATCGATACGTTTACTCCATATAGTGCCATGGGTATTATCGAAATGAACTGTATAAATTCCTTTCTCTGCACAACAAATTTCACCATATTCAGCAACGAAATCTGTTGAAACACGGAATCGTGGCCATACCTTAAACTAAATTTACTGAACGCATGACAGCCTATATTAAAGTCGATCTAAATTCTAAGATTACCTCTATCTTCATATGAAAAAAAAGGACAACAAGCAAATATATTCAAAGAGTTACCATTTCAAAGATTTAAAAAACCTTCGAAGAGATAAAATCAGAAACTATAAACTTGATGTGCATAGTTCAAATGAACGGAAACGATCAAGATAAACCTCATGAGAGCCGTATGAAATCCAGAAGTCAATATCACCAGACGCTACAGTGAAATACCAAGAAAGAACACTCCGTGGCTGTGAAACGTCCAAATTGATGACCGTATCGCGTCGTGCAGAAACACAAACGGTCGTCAGCTGCTCTTTTGGAATACGCTTCAAAGAAGCTATTTGCTCATCCCTTCAAACACAACACCTCAACGCCAAAATTCTCTACCGAATCCGTACAAACGATAGCGAGTCAAAAAGTTATTGGCAAATAAAATATTCAATGAGACGAAGACAAAATGAAAGAAACCTCAATCGGTCATCTATTTCTCCTCCCATACGAATCGAATCTGTCGGTGAATTTGCTTGTTTAGTTCCGCCCCAAAAAGGTAAAATATTTTCCTCGCCAATGCGCTCTTTCAATGCGTCCTTCCAGTTGTCACCCAAGAATTCAACGAGGTCCAATGTGTTCTGAAACGTTAGAACCGGATAAATAAAGATGCCAGTTGAGGAACTGTGTCCTTTTCGAGATTGGAACTAAAATTTTTCGGTAGTCGTGAAAAAAATCAACTTGAATCTTCAACCAATCCAATTAAAAAAAGGTTTGGGTTGATGAGTTCATCGTTTACAGCAAATATGAGGTAACGACTCTAATAAACAGCAAATCAAAAACCTTGGAGAGTGCTTGTCTGGCTATTCGATAAAGGAAACCGATAGCGGATGGTGCATTTATAACGTAAATTTTGATTATTGATCCTGGGAAGAGTGACTGAAATTAACTCAATTTTGATACCAGGTTTAACTGCTATACTTGTTTTTAAAGCTAACGACTGATGTTAAATTTACAGCTGATTTTTTTTCAGTTGATGAACTGAAATGCTGAACATTTGGAAAAAATATCAGCTCTGCAGATCCAGGAACACAGAATGAAGCAAAACAAAAGAGTCACTTATCAAACATTTGTTTACAAGAAAGTAAACACGATAAGTGAAAATAAACCTGAAGAAGTTGTAGAGCATTCATGTAGATGCGTAACGCAGGCATATAAATACTGCTGATACTTAATTCCGCTAGATCAGTGATAATTATCACTCCGACCTTATGACCACGTTTCTTCTCTTCATTCCTGCACTTGCAAATACACCATTATCAATATAACAATTCCATCACACATTAAAAGACACAACTCAATGAGGCCCATAACTTAATCATGACTAACTCAAGCTCAGTAATTCTATGATACGCAGCTCATCTAGAATGAATACTTTCATGACCATCTTCTAAATGCTCTATTACTGAATAAAGCTAGCAATCAGGAAACTTTAATTGCAATTCATCTTACAGAAATGATCAAATGTCAGTTCATCGGCAGTAATGCGACTGATATGGTACAATAAAACTATATAAGTTGAAGCCTACAAAAACAATAAAGTGTGAAATCCCTACGACAAATTAATTACATTGAACAACGAAGGTAATAAAAGAAAATGATTGTATTGCCTTACCTGACCAATGCCAAACTGGCTTCACATTCAAGAATAAGAGCGCGATACAATTCGGATACTCTCGCAGTTGGAATTAAATTTCTTGGTCGAACTCGACCCATTGGCTGTATACAAATCACATTTCCATCACGGTCAACACCCATGATACCTCCTATCATATAGAAAGCTCATTAAACACTACAACAATTTTTTGAGTACGACTGATATCAATTCATTCGGCGATTTCCAATCACACAAAAATTCACACTTAGAAAATTGGGAAGGTGTGGATGAAAAAAGTTTAGTAAGGTATTTTGACGATGTGATAGGCAGGAATAACGTTTGCAAATCGTTTATATTGCGATGAGGAAGTTATCAAAAGTCCTTTTTTGAAACACTGATCTAACAGAATCAGAAGTGAACAATGCAATGCAATTTAATATCCATTGTTTCTTGAAAGACCAAAATAAGAAAATAAGTATCGAACGAATAACCCATAATAACCTGGAAAATACTCAGCGACTGCGGTGATAGAAGGAAACACATTTTGTGCATCTTCCAATCGATTAATATTCTCCGTGAAAGCACCAATAGCAGAGAGTTTGTACAATGCTGATTCCAATTTCAATGCTGTCGCCTCTAAAATAAATTGATGAAGTCAACAAAGCATAGAAAATAAATAAATAAAATTTACAAAATACGTGAGCAAATGAACGAGTCAGCCAATAAATTGAATGAATAACTGAATTAATCAAATACTGTACAAATTCAGTGATACCGAATAATGTGGTAAAAATTCAAAAATGATCGAATCAATGAATATTACATCAGAGAAGGAAAAACTAATCAAAAACTATACAAATCCAACTCACCAACGTTGTAATTTTCAGCCGACAACCACCGCAGAAGTGAGTAATCAGTATCGTACGCTGGAAATTTTGACAGAGCGTTTGAGATGCGTAATCGCAATTTTTGAATGGCATCAGTTGTGTTACAAAACGGTGCACTGTTTTCTCGTAGGGTATTATTTGATGTCATCTCTTCGAATCTAATTCTTTAATATGTGTATTGTTTGGCGATTGAAAAAGGTTTTCGAATGAATGTTGAACCCAATCGATTTGAGGTGCACACGAAAGTGAAGTGATTCGTTAATAATTCTGAACGAAAATATTCACTATCAGACTGCTGCCTCGGACAAGTGCTGACTTTTGAGACATGTATGTAACCTGAAATACGTACATATTCAGATCCGATCTATCGTGACAGTCGATGAACGGCTTTTAGTACCACATCCGCTATTTTGAATAAGATAGTTAAAAGGAACTGAAATAAATGATTGGAAACATTATCGGAACAAAATACTTCCAAATGGGGTAAGCGATTATCACAATTTGTTCCCATACATTCGAACAAA